GGAGGAGCTGGCGGCCTCGCCCGCTTCGGCGCTGGCCCGCAGGGCGCGCGCGCCGCCGGGATCCGTCCCTCGCCGAAGGACGGCAGCTGGGCGGCACGCCGCGTCCCCACGGCGGGGGGGGCGCCGGAGGCGGCCCGCCCCGTGGGGCTGCCGCAGGGCAGCCGTGCGTGGCACTCGGGGCGACGGCCGCCCGCCTCGGCAGCCGGCGGGCCCGCGTGCAGCCGCGCTCGGGCCCGAGCTCGGGCCAGGTGCTTCCCGCTCGGCGCGGAGGCAGGCGCCTTCGTCTCCTGTTGGAGGTGGATCGGCCTCCTACCCTGGCGCGTCGATTGAGGAATTGGCCGTTTTCGGTTCGCGAGTGGGCGTCGCGGCCGTGATTTTTGCGGGTCTAGGTCCGTCGGTGTCGGTCCCACGCCGCTTTCACTAAGAGGAGGTTTACTAAAGGGAGGTTTGTCCACCGCCGATCCTGGGCGCCAGGGGGCTGGAGCGGCGCCGCCGAGCACCTTGAGGAGGGCGACGGCGGCGTGGGCGGCTAGTGTAACAAGGGCAGGGAGTAGGATGACGGCCGTGAGCTCGTGGCGTGCGCATCCGTGCTGGACTCCCGGCAGCGGGGGACCTTGGATGACGAGCTCTGGAGGGCCGCAGCTGGGAGCTGGATGAGCGCGGCGCTGCAGGTGAGCGCCCGGGCCTCAGCCGGTAATTCTCGGGGTGCTGGAGGCCACGCTTCAGGAGGGTTCGGTGCGCAGCAGATGGGGAGCCTCGGCGTCGTGGAGGCTGGGGTGCATGAGGCGGAGGTTCGAGAGCCAGCTCAGACGAAGGCGCATCCTGAGGGCTGAGAGGATCTTGACAAGCTCCCCCTGCGGTAGCTGCGCATGGCGCAACTCGTGATCGAATGGGCTTGATGCACGAGGGAGGGCATCGATGCGTTGCAGGGTGGGCGGTGACTTACAATGCTTGCCCACGCAGTTCCACCCACGGCGCTCGTCGGGGGTGCCAGTTGGTGGCTGGGGTTCCTTCGTCTACGAGCGGCGTCACGAGGGCATCAATCGCACCGACCCTGCGGTTTTGTGTGCGAGAGCTGCCAGGGCGCGGTCCGCGGCGTGCGGGCGGGCGTGCACGAGCAGCCCGAGGGCTTTTCGGAGATGCCGGTGCGAGAGGGTGGTGTTCCACACGGTGTTGTTGTAGGCCGCGATGATAGCGCAGCTCTTCCCCATTCGCTGCAGCCTCGGCTCGTGGTCCTGACGAACGAACAACAGACACCCATACCAACAGGGGGGGGGGGCGGGCGGGGCTGTGGGTGCGTGTTGCCGGATGGGGGTCCCCAATCGAATGGGAGCCCCCCCAGGGGTCCGACAACCCGCACCTAGACCCGTGGCCAGTGTTCCCTCCGACCTCCTGATGGGTACGGGGTATGGGTATGCGTGTGTGTGTGTGTGTGTGTGTGTGTGCGTGTTCTAAGAAAGGGCATAAACATAAACTTCTTGGCGCTCAGCGCGGATTTCTGGGATCCGCGCATGGGCCCCGCCGGCGGTGCCTCCGGCGCCGCCCTTGGCGCACTCCGCGCGCTAGGGAGGGGGGTCCGGCGCAGATCCAAGGAATCCGCGCGGAGCGCCGAAAGTTTAGCCTGTGGCGTGTTTTCTTCTCCTATGTGTGTGGTTCGCTCGTCATGGCCCCCCTGGGACCGCCCCCCCTGTCGTCGGCGGTGCCGTGGCCCAAAAACTCCACAGCTGCTGCGCCGGGGGGGGGGGGGCGGCGGCCGCCCGCCTGGGAGCTCTCTCCCGTGGAGTCTGGCTGCAGGAGGGGGCGTCGGCGGCCGCCGCGGTGGCTGCCTGCGGAGGGCGGTGTTTTGGCGCCGCGCGCCGCCATCTGCGCCTCCGCTGAGGCAGAGGTCGGTTCGGGGAGGGCGTGCGAGGTGTTCGGGGGCTTTCTTCGGCTCTCGGCGGCTTTCCGGCCTCGGGGCGCTCTCCAGCAGCTGCGCCTCGCCGAGGGCGTTCCGGGGGTGCCAGAAGCGTCCCGAACGGCCGCCCGACGATTTCGGGCCCGAAAACCGCCGGCCACGGGGCGGTCGGACCGAGGTGTGAGATCGAGGTCGGTTCGGGGAGGGTACCCTCATGTTTTTCGGGTTTGTTGGATGCTCTGGTGCATCCTGGGGGGGTACCCTTGGGTGTTCTGTGTGCTTTGGCCGGCGGAGAGTCTCGTGCTCTTGGATGATGTTCTTCCGTCCTAGATCCGATTGTATGCCCTCTCCCGACCATCCGCTTGTAGGGAACGGCCATACTGGTGCAGAGATGCCCAGGGTCGTACTCCTACTCCAGGCGCCGTTGTGCGGGTGATGCCTTCGTCGCTCTTCCCCCCCTCCTGTCCCTTTGCACGCTGTGCTTGCCCAAAGCGCCCACAAAAGTTCCTTCCGCTACGTTCTTCGTCCTCCTCCTCCTCCTGCTCCTTCTGATCCTCCTCCTCCTCCTCCTCCTCCTTCTCCTCCTCCTTTCCCCTCCTCCTCCTCCTCCTCCTCCTCCTCCTCCTCCTCCTCCTCCTCCTCCCCCATCCTCCTCATCCTCATCCTCATCGTTGTCCTCCCCCCTCCTCTGCCACGCACCTCTCCCTCCCCATCCCCCTCTTGCAGCACCGATCTAGGGTGTCAGCAGCCATTTAGGAACAGTCTCGGACGAGGACAATCGAAGACAGTCAGATTTCCTGGAGGCGCCTCGAGGACTGAGCCAGCCGAAATAGCTTCGACCGGTTCTCGGTGGCGCCAGGCCGTGGAGACTTACGACCTGATGTCCAGGCGCTTCTTTACGCACGCCACGCCCACGCTGTTCAACGCGGGCACGCCTCGTCCCCAGGCCACCCCTTGCCCTTGCCAGTCGACGTGCCTTTTTGACAGCAGTGGCAACGTTCTGGAGCCAGTGCCAGAGACAGTGACAGACGGCCGCGAGACGACGAACGCGTGACGTTACAAGGCGCGATGGGAATTGGGAGGGCAGCCACATTGTTCGTGGGTGCGGAGGGGAAGCTTCACAGCCGGCCGCGGAGACAGTTCTGCAGGAGGGACGCGTCGCGAAGAGAGAAGCGTGGGGAGCAGAGAAAGAGAGAGCGGTGTGGAGGAAGAGAACAGAAGGAATGGGAGGGGACAGGAGAAGATCAAGCAGTGGCGAAGCGTCCTGGCTCGCCTATAGCCCTACCAAACAATGTTCTAAGAACCTTTTGTGGTTTCCACGAAATGTTCTTAGAACATTTCTGGCTGGGACCGTCTTGTTTTATCACATCGGGTCTATGTTCTAAGAACATTGTTTTTTTCTCTTAGAACATGTTTGGGTTCTAAGAACATTTCGTGGTATGACTATAGGAATGCCGGGACGGTCGGTCCCTGCTCAAGAAGAGGGATGGATGTGTTGTGTGTGTGTGTGTGTGTGTGGGAACGCGGGTGAAATTCAACTCAAGTTCGGTCCGCCCTCCGTCAGTGTAGCTGTCCTTCTTTGACATGAAAGCGAACGTTTTCGGCGCCAAGGCGAAAACCCGACATCGAAAACGAGCCGCCCTCCATCCGTGTAGATGTGAACTCTTGAGCCGGACCTGCGCGGCACTAGTGAGCGGTTGTTCTCTCCTAGCGAGGATAGCGCTCGCTACCCGGGCCAAACCCCTCCCCAGGTCACGCTGACGATCGTATTGGGTCGAACGGGGCTAGGACGAGGATAAGTCCGTTTCAAAGCGTTCCAGAACCCTCTCAAAGCGTTCGGGAACGCTCTGCGAAGGCTGCGGCGTCCAGGACACATCCTCCAGCGCCGCCGGATCTCAGAGGCTCTCGATGCATCCGTGCCCGATGTTATCCTCGTCCTGGTTTCGTGTTTCTGCGGGGGTGGCCTGGACCCCCCCTGCATCTTGGCATCGCTCGGACGTGCGCATTTTTCCTTTGGCGAAAACTATCGAGGAGCATCCTTGATCATTTGGCGAAAAAACCACGCACGAAACCGGAAAGAGCACAGGGAATGGACGTCCGAGCGATGGCGAGGCATGCTGTGGTGCGCACAGGCGATCGGTGCGCCGGTGGCACGAGCGCACCCTGGCGGGTGCCTGTCTCGGGCCGAACGAAAGGGGGGGATAGGGAAAGCGGGGGCTACGAAATCTGCTGCGTGCAGCTGGTTTCGGCCTCGCCGCCGGGCCCATTCCCCGATGCATGGGCGCCTCCCGGCGCCAGGTGGTGCTGGGAAAATCAACCACCTGAGCTGATTCTCTACCCTACCCTTTGCTATTCCCCCCTTTCGTGCCCCCCGAATATCGCGGCCTCCGTTGCCGTTACCCTCGCGCCATAGGCCCCCCCCCTCGGGTGGCGACTGTTACCCTGGACAGAATAAAGAACTGTCCCCTGACCACATCAAACGCTCCAGAAAGGACCTCGCCTTCGAGGACCGAAAGAGATGTCATCTCTTCCTCGGAGGAAGGCAGTGAAAGGTTGGCGGAAGTGAAACCAGGCCGCCTCCGCCGGCGGAAGCTGGCGGAAGGCTGGCAGAAGGCGGCCGAAGTAAAAATTTTTGGGTTCAGGGTTTCCGGAATCGCCCACATGTCTCAGACGACCCGCAGTCCATCCGTGGATGTGCTGACGGCTCTTGGGACGTTTGTGGGCGTATCTGAGGCGAGGGCAAGGTTATGAAGACGATGCGCCCTCCATACGTGTAGCCGCCAGGCATTTGCAATGCCAGCGTGCGAGAACCATGATTCGAAAGCGACTGCCTTCCAGCCGTGTAGATGTGGGAGGAAATATCATGGGAAACGCGCGCTGCGCCCAGGTGGCAGCCATATCGAAGTCGATTCGCCCTCTAGACGTTTATCTGCTGGCGGTTTGAAGTTTTAGGGTTAAGTCGGGCCTGTCCCTCTCAGGGGGAAGATTCAAAAATAGTCTAACAATAGTCTGGGGACTATTTTTGGGGTATTTTTATTTTGGGCTTCTTTTGAGCATGTTTTGAGTATTCCTTATTGTTCGTCCAAGATCCCCCTGTAGGGGGACATGCCCGACCTAACTTCAGGGCCGTCAGTGTCCTCACAGGCGCACCGCGAACCGCCCTGGCCGCCCCACCGACCTGCCCGGTGGCTCGAGGAGGAGGAGCTGCGCGGGTCCAGAAGCAGGGCTGCCCGAGACCATCACTTCGCCTGCCCCCCGCCGGCGAGGCCCGCCTCCCTGGGCCGCACGCGCGCGCGCGTCCACAGGCGCGCCTGCTGCAGCCGAGGCGTCCTGGCGGGAGGGGCCCCGCTCGGGCTCGGGAGCCGCCGGTGGCGATCGGCGGGGAGCCCGCCGAGCTTCTCCTCGTTGCTTCTGTGAACTGGTCGGGTGTTGCTAGAAGTGCCCCTGGCCCAAGGTGCCCCCAGCTTTTCGCTCCATTTTGGAGCCCCTGGGGCCCTCTGGGCCTCGTGAGGGGTGCCCTGGAGGCCGTCTGGGCCACCCCGAGAATCCTGGGGGTACCTTGGGCAAGGGGTACTTCTAGCAACACCCGAACTGGGCCGAAGAAGCGGGGTGAGAACAACAGATCGCCCCCGCGGGGTGGGGGGGGGAGTTGGTTTTGCCTCTAGTTGCGTTGTCCCCCCCCCCCTTCGTCATCCTCCTGGTGCCCGTTCTCGTCCTTCTCATCCTCCCCACTTCGTCCTCTCGCCCTCCTCCTCCTCCTCCTCCTCCTCCTCCTCCTCCTCCTCCTCCTCAATCCCCGCCTACTCCGTCCTCTTCCTCTTCCTTGTCCCATTGTCCCCTTCCCCTTTCTCGTGCTGCACCTCTTCCTGCTGTTGCTGCTCTTGCTCTTATTCCGTGCGCGCCGGTCGGTGAAAGTAGGTATTTTGGGATTCCCAGGTCCCAATCTACTTCAAGCACCTTCCTACTTCAAGAATCGCTATGTTTTTGCTGTGTTTTGTTCCCAACCATCCTGTGGTGTTGGGTCTTCGTTTTGAAGAGACGGTGCCCCGCGTCTCCTTCCTTCCTCCTCCCCCTCCTCCCTCCTCCCCCATCCTGGTTTTTGCTCTCCGCATGTCTCTGTTTCGGCACACCCCTCACACGTTTCGTGGCCCCATAGGGAGCTCCACCTAAGGTCCCAGTGGCGGAACTCGCATGGCGCCGCCGCCCCATTTTGGCACACCCCTCACACGTTTCGTGGCCCCATAGGGAGCTCCACCTAAGGTCCCAGTGGCGGAACTCGCATGGCGCCGCCGCCCCATTTTGGCACACCCCTCACACGTTTCGTGGCCCCATAGGGAGCTCCACCTAGGGTCCCAGTGGCGGAACTCGCATGGCGCCGCCGCCCCATTTTGGCACACCCCTCACACGTTTTCGGGCCTCCACCAGGTCCCCTGGTAACTCGCATATTTTGGCACACCCCTCACACGTTTCGTGGCCCCATAGGGAGCTCCACCTAAGGTCCCAGTGGCGGAACTCGCATGGCGCCGCCGCCCCATTTTGGCACACCCCTCACACGTTTCGTGGCCCCATAGGGAGCTCCACCTAAGGCCCCAGTGGCGGAACTCGCATGGCGCCGCCGCCCCATTTTGGTACACCCCTCACACGTTTCGTGGCCCCATGGGGAGCTCCACCTAGGGTCCCAGTGGCGGAACTCGCATCGCCCAGGCGTGATCTTGGACTGCGGCCGCCACGAGGTGGGGAACGGCAAGAAGGAGGACGACGACTGGTGGCTGGAGCTCTACGTCCTGCTCTCGCGCGCCACGCGCCACGAGGACCTCCTGCTCATGCGGGCGCCGCGCATCGAGTTCTTCCTGGCAGGGCCGCCGGAGGGCTTGCGGAAGCAGCTGGAGCAGTTTGCGGCGCGCACTAAGCGGTGCAGAAGGGAGGCGACGGCCCTCGCCAGTGGGATGGGCTTCACCGAGTTTATCCGCGAGGCTTGACCTGAGGAGCGGCCCGCCCGAGACTCGCCGTCTCTCGACGGTCTGACTGTTTGGCTTCGCGCCGCGGGCGATCCGCGCGCGTCGCTGGGACCCTCTCGGGGCGACCAGCGCGCGTCGCGGGAATTCCGCGCTGCGCTCTGCCCAGAGCCTCGCTCGCCCCCGTCGCCGCTCTGCCCAGCGGCCACAGTCTTGCCCGCTATCACCCAGCCAGCTAGCACTCTCTCTGCTCCGCGCAGCGGACGACCCGCGCGCGTCGCCGGGACCCCTTCGGGGCGACCAGCGTGCGTCGCGGGGGCTCAGTGCGGCGCCGCGCCCGCAGCCATGGACATCGGCGTGCGCGGGCAAAGAGGCAGAACAAGAAGGGGAAGGAAGCGGGCGCGATCCTCGTGAGGGGCGCGCCGGCATGGGCGTCGACGTTGATGCACGTAGACTGATTCGCACGCAGACACATTCACAATCAGACTTACTCGCGCTCAGTCTCACCCGGTCTCACTCTCGCGCACTCAGAGCGATCGTCTTTGTTCGTATTGGGAACCCCGCCACGCATTTCGGCACGCCCCCTCACACGGTTCGTGGCCCCATAAGGAGCGCGAGCGAAGATGAGATCCAGAATCGCGGTATTCACAACTGCGCATGGTTGGGTCCTTCGCCAGGCTAATTATTCTCTGGGAGGACCTGGGCCCAATCTACTGCATCCGCCTTCCTACTTCATATTTCTATGTACTTCTTCCGACCGACGTGTATAGGGTAATTATGAGTTCGCCGTGAAGCGGAGAGGCCCCCACCCGGACATCGGTTTCGGTTTCGCGTTCGCGTCGCGCGCGGGGGCGAGGCGAAGCTGCGCGGGCGGGCGAGAGGGATCAGCCCTGATGCTAGGGCGCCGCCGGGCCGCCACAGACCGCCCCCCCCCTGATTGTCTGGCGGCGGCCACGGGTGCACCATCCGCGCCCCGTCGGTCGTGAGGTCGGCTGAGATCGTTCGGGGGACCGATCGTGAGATCGAGAGTGGGATCGATCGTGAGATCGATAGTAAGATCGCTTGTAGGATCGATAGTGAGAAGGATAGTGGGATCGACAAAGATATCCATAGTGAAATCGACGTTGGGAGCGATAGTGGCATTGATGGTAAGAGGAACAGTTAGATCGACTGCGAGATCAATGGTGCGATTGACAATGAGGACGATAGTTATATCAATATTGAGATCGATTGTGGGATCGATCGAGAGAGCGATATGAATATCGTTTGCGAGATCGATCGTGATATCGATGGTGCGACCGAATGCGAGAGCGATCGTGAGATTGATAGTGATATCGATTGAGTGGGACTTTGGTGCCTCCTTCCCGCTCCGACCTCCTTATCGCCCGAGGAGTGGTCGTATGCGCAGGTCGAAGTCATGCCGTCCATGTTGCGAAATGTGTGGGAGGAATGGGATGGGGCGCGCATCCCGCGGGAAGGGGCGACATGCCGCTCTCGCTTCGGCGCCGCATTTATTTTTCCATGGGGTTGAGCTCTCGCTCGGGCGCGGCGGACACTGTTGGTGCACCACTCCCTCGATGCGCGTGCGAATGAAGCTTTCGTGATCGCTTTGGCGCCGCGCCGATTTCGCCTGAACATGTCGCTCCCGCCACAGCGCGGCGCGGCGCATAGCCATCGCTCGCCGTTTTGGGCGGCCCCGCGGGGACGGGCGATGGGTCGCCCTCGCCCGAACTCCGTGCGCATTTCGCTCGGAAGTGGCGTTCCCGCGCGGGCGCGGCGTAAGGCTTGTTCGCCGAATCGCATGAACGCGGCAGCGGCAGCGGGGCTGCGCGAGGGTAAACAAAATCCGGATTTCGCCCAAGCGATTTGCGGCCTGCGCGCGGCTGGCAGCGCTGTGTCGGCGCGATGCGTGCTTCGCTGTCGCCGCGTTCCTCGGATTGCTGCGTTTCTGCTTTCTGTTTGGAGCAATGTGTAGCATGTCGGAGAGCAGGTGCAGACATTTCAGAAGCCTGTAGATTAGGTAGCATGGCAGATGCGTATTTGCGCGCGCACTCCGCGGCCTCTTTGGCGCGAGAAGCGTCGTGGTAGCAGAGCAGGCCGAGACCAGCTCGAACAAGCGCCCCCCAGACGCGCTGGCCCCCCCGCGCGCGCGCATCGACGCCGTCGCGGGCGACCCACGGCAGACCGCGCAACGGCGCAGGGAGGCGAGGCGAAGCCCGCGACGAGAGGCTCGGGCACAACCGAGCAGCCAAGGGCGCCCGGGAGTTAGCCGGGTGGAGTTACAGGTGGACCGCAGCAGCGGCGGCTGGCGACGAGCGGCAGGGGGCCGGCCTCAAGCCGCCCACCTTCGACGGACTCGAAGAGCACTGGAAGGATTGGCCCTTCGCGATGAGAGCCTTCTTCGGGGGGCAGGCGCGCGTGTCTCAGCGCCTGATGGGGGCAGCTGAGGATCTCGGTAGGTAGCCTGACGTTTCGGCAGATCACATTCAGAACTCGTTGGGCGACGGGGGCGCCCCGGGAAACCATGCAAATGATCGTGCTTGGTCGTGGCCGTGAAGGGCAGTGGTCGCGTGGTAATGCGAAGGGCCAATCAGTAGAACCGCGCAGCAGCTTGGAGAGCGCCGCTTATAGAGGTGCGACCCAGCTGCGGCGGCCCTGGCCTAGAGCATCATGAGAATCGCCCAGAACGTCGAGCAGTCCCGCGCGCTCTTGCGGGGTTCGAGGAGGTTCGCGCGGAGCGGGGGCGCCGCGCAACGCGGTGCGAGAGGGCGCCAGGCGAAGTCTTTGACGCAGGGCGCCCGCCTCCTGGAGGCGCCCGAGATCATCGGAGCGATGCCCCAGGTGGCGCGCGAGCGGGCCTGCGACGAGCGCGCGGCGACCACCGCCCAGCGCCTGCAGGCGGCGACGATCTGCGCGCAGAGGCGCCCGCCCCCACCGTCTGGACTTCCTGGGGGGCCCAGCGGCATGGAGGCCGACGCGCTCGCATAGGCGCGCGGCTCGGGCAGAGGCAGGGGCCGCGGCGGCCGGGGCGACGGCGGGGCGGCGAGGGGGGCCGGGGCGAGGGGCGAAAATGTAGAGAGATCAGAGGACTGACGAGTGGGAAAGAGAATCAGACCCAGATGGGCGCCAGACGCGAATGCACGATTTGCGGACGCATGGAGCCGCCGCGCAATTAACAGCTGGCGCGTGGCCCAGGCGGATAGCGAGGCATGGCCCGAGGGGCGTGGTCGGGGTGGCCCCGGGGGCGCAGGGCAGGGCCAGGGGGCGACCCGGCCGCGGCGGTTCGGTCGATGAGCTCTCAGCGCAAGTGGATGCTTTGTTGCTGGTGGGCCCTTCGCCCGGCAGTGCGGCGGCATGGGCCGCGGGGCCTTCGGCCAGCCGGGTCGGGGCGCCAGGGCCCCGGGGACAGGCGGCGCCGGGCGCGGTCGCGTCCATCGCGCGGCAGGCGACGATCCCCGAGCCCGGCCGGGAGCCAGGCTGCGTCTTCGAGGTGGCGGAAAGGCCCGCGGCCAGCAAGGGGAGGGCCCGGGGCGAGCGGGGCAGCGTGCCGACGCGGGCCGACAACTGCGCGGGCGAACGCACGCGCGACCAGCGCAACTTCCCACGGGCGCCCAAACCACTCAGCAGACACGCGAGTTCGGCGGCGGCCGCGCCAGCAGCCGGGGCCGCGGCTGCAGCCGGGGCCGCGGCTCCCGAGCGGGGGCGAGTGAGTCGGGGGCGACGGAGGTGGCCAGGCCATGATCTAGTCACGCATCGCTACGATCTGCGCGGTCAGCGAGACATGCGAGGGGCCGACGGCGGAGGGCGGGGGTGTCCGCGCGAACGGAGGCGACTTCACATGGGGGGCATCGAGCACCTCGAGAAGATCGGTGTCGACGGCAAGCGGGTCGCGATGCAGATTCCGATCGTCGAGGCGACCTCCCAGGCCCCGACGGCCCAGCGGGTCGACGCCAGGCCGGCGGCGGCAAGACGAGCAGGCGGGCCGCGCGGGGATTCGAGCAGCGGACCTACGAGCGCGAAAACTTCGCGGCCACCATTCCGCCACTACCACGCCTGAAGGCGATGTTGGTCGACGCGTTCGGCGACCCACTGGGGCGTTCCACCGCGCGCCCCCGAGGGGGGGCAGGATCCCCTTGGAACCGCCGCCCGAAGCGGGAGTTCCAGTGGGTTGCGCGCGGGAATTGCTGCGCGCTTTCCCAGGACTCAAGGGGCGCTTGAGGCGCGGGGGGATCAGCGCAGTGATGACGGGGCAGATAAGTCGGGGGGGCGCAGGGCGCCGCGGCGGTCGCGTCTTCGCGAGGGCCTAAAACAGGGTCGGGCAGGGCGACGCGCTGATGACATCTTCGCAACGGGGCGCTGGGGGTCGGTCGACCAATTGCCAAATTGCTGGTGGAAGCGCGCGAGAAGCTTAGGCTCTCTGACGCGGATGGGCCGCGCGGCGCAGGCGACGCGGGCACCTTCCTGAATTTGCAGGTCCACGATCGAGGGCGACGAAGAACCAGGCCACGCAGGAAGACGACGACGAGTTTCTCAGCGTAGCAGGCCGCGGCGGGCGCGGGATGCGCGCGGGGAAGTCGCTGCACTTGCCAAACCAGAGGGCTGACATGCAGCGCGGAGTCGGGGAGCTTCGCCGCGGCGCGGCGGCGCCAACTCGGAGGAGCGGCCAGCGCGGGTTGAAGAAGATGGCGAGGTAAGTGGCGGGGGCCAGCGAGGGCACGAGGTTGGCGCTGAAACCTGACAAACAGATCAAGCAGATCGCACATTGCCGCGCGGACACAGACTAATCAGACAACAAGTACGACAGGATCTCAGTTAGCGGCGGTGCGCTCGAGTACGACAGGTGCACTGCTGTCGCGGGCGTGGCGTTAGGGCCGCGGAGCCCTGAGCTCAGCCGACAGCGAGTTGTGCGCATGAGGCTCCGGAGCAGCCGAGGCGCTCGGACTGGCGTCGCTGATGAGCGAGTGTCACGAGAACGCGGCGCTTGTCCTGGCAATCGACAGCAGCGGCGCGCTGCACATCGCGAAGAAATGAGGACCAAGTAAAATGAACACGCGTCGAGGACAGTTTTTGTGTTGCAGCAGCAGCGGCGCGAGCAGAAGCGCCTGGAGTTCCAGAATGTCCACGCGGACGGGAGTGAAGAAGACATGCTGTCGAAGCCGATGACCTAGGAAAAGCTCGTGAAGTTCTGCCGCGACGTAGGTTTATTCCATCGTTTCGCTCATTCCGCCGGCCCTGGAGCCCTCTTTAGGGTTTCTTGGGGGCCTCATGGGAGTCTCTTGGGGCTCCTTGTCGGCGTCTTGGGGGCCCCTGCAGCCTCTTGGGGGGCTCTTGGGGACCTCTTGGGTCAGGAGGTAGGGGTGATAGTCGATTGCGCCCCTCCCCTCGGAGGCCACGATCCTTGTGAGGGGTGTCGAAAATTGCCCGGTCTGGCATCTCTGATCCGAGTGTCCCGGGGGTCTCCTGGGTTACTCTTCGTCCGGGGACCCCCAGGGGCGGCCCCGCGCGCGCGAAGTAGAATATGGTTAAACAGTTACCGGAGATCTTAGCACGACCTTGGCCCGTTGGGCCGGCGAATTTTTGACGCTTCGCGTATCCCCACCAGCCTGCTTGTGAGCTGTAGTTTTGGACGGCGCGCGGCCCTTCCGCTTGCGCTTGCGATGGACAAATCCCCACCAGCCCATCCAGAAACGATGCCCATGAGAGTTGACAGGGGGAGAGGGAGGAATATACGCGCATAGTCAAACAGCGAGGGGGGCTTGGGAGGCTCCGTGGCCATCTCGAGCCGTCTTGGAGTCTCGGGGCCGCTTGGAGCATTTTGGGCGCCGTTTTGAGCCATATTGGGTTATCTGAGCCATATTGGAGGTCATCTTGGGCTCTCTGGGGCCGCTCGGGGGCGTCTTAGGTGCCTTTTTTTTCGGGTGCCTCTTGGAGCTCTTTTAGGGCCTCTTGGGGCGCTCTTGGAGCCCTCTCGGGTGCCTCGTGGGAGCCCTGGAACGCCTGTGGGGGCAATCTTGGAGGCGGTCGGTCTCAAAAATAAGGGGGGGCTAAATCTAGTTCCCCCCCTTCGTGGGGTACGATCCTCGTAAGAGGTATCAAAATTTGGCCCTTCCAGGGGCCGAAAAAGGACCCTCTGACACGTCGGTCCCCCTTTCAAAAAAACTTGAGGGGAGGGGGAGGGCCCCCCTCCACGGAGGGAGAAGGGGTTGCGGAAGAGGAAACATATCCTTGTTAGACCACCCGTCGCCCAAAAGGCTGGTGGGAGTAGGTGGGCCGCTCCGCCTACCTAGCGACGACGGCGACGGCGAACTATCCAAGCATGTCGGAGTGTCCTTAGCAGGAAGAGAAGCTTGAGCCAGCAGAGCGGCTAAGAACACCAGCCATCAGCGGCGTTGACAACAACAGGCGCAAGACTGGTGGTGAGGCCAACGTGCCTTGCCCGATCGAGTTTCCCAGACATTCCGTCACGATCCCTGGGTCTGCAGGCCTGGCGGAATCCAGGGCGTGCTGAGGTAGTGTAGCATGTACGGGGGGCGTACTCATAGCAGAAGTCTGCATGGATCTGGCAGCACGGCAGCTGTGTCGCAGCGCGCGCACTCCGCAGCCTCCTTGGCGCGAAAGGGGTCGTCTCCGACCCCCGGGCGGCCAGCGTGGCTTCTCCGCCGGCAAGCCGTCAGAAGCGGGGCCGCGCGCGAGCGGTTTCGGTTCGCCAGGCGGGAACGCGCTCCAATCCGAACACTAAGGCGTGCCACAACTCATTCTAACAGTGCGGTTTTTAATGCGTGCTCCGCGTGCGGATCATGTATGAAAAATGCAGGGGTTCCGCAGTAAAAACAACGAGGAGTTCATGCAACAATTTATTCATACATTAGTCATGGATTAAAAATCCTCTATTGTTTCAAATCCTGTGTATTAGAAACTGCCCAGTACGTCCTGGAGGGAGGGTGGGGATGGGCGGGGCCCGCCGAACCGCTCGTCCTGGCGAGCTTGGCGCCTCCTATCCCTCCGCCCCCCCTCGGTCCCTCCTGGTCTTCCTCCCCCTCCCCCCTTTCCTTTCGCTCGTCCTCCCCCCTCCTGCCCTGCCTGCCTTCTCCTCCCCCTCCCGGCGTTTTTCCTCCCCCCCTCCTGTCGTCTCTCCTCCCCCTCTCCTGCCCCCCCCTGCCTTGCCTCCCCCCTGCGTCGCGCGCTGGCGCGCTGGGCGTCGGCGGCCCCGCCCCGCCCGCCGCAAAACGGCGGCCGGTCGCCCAGATGTCTTCGTGTTTCCTGCTGACGATGAAGGAGGACGAGCGCTGGGGGGCCAGACAATCTCAGTCTCTCTCTCTCTCTCTCGCTCTCTCTGCGTTTCCTGCCCCACCCTCTGTACATACACGTATTTGCATCGATACGTTCATCGTCGTGGCCGTCGCTCTCGGAGGCTGCATCGTCATCGGCGTCGCCGTCGTCCGTCCAGGTGTGCTCCTAGTCTTTGCCGTCTTCCTCATCCGTGTAATGTCCAAAACCGGTGAAAAAATGATGACCCATCCCCTCCCCCCCGGATCCCGACTGCCATAAATTCGCATCCCAATAACATTTTTTTTATCTGTCCCCCCTGGAAAAAATTCCATGGATGCCAATCGATGCCACTTGTATATACCTCGTTGTCCGAGGTCGTTTTTTTTCCGTCGCCGCCGTCGGCGGGCGCTCGAGCAGGCGCGCGCGCGCGCACGGGCGGGCGGGCGCGCGCGCGGGTGGGCGTCGTCGTCGGCGTCGTCGTCGTCGTCGTCCCTGTCCGCCTTTCGGGTCGGGCGAAAGGGGGGATAGAAAAGGGGGGGTTTGAGAATCAGCTCACGTAGCTGATTTTCCCGGCGCCTCCCCGCGCCGGAGGCGGCTATGTATCGAGGAATGGGCCCCTCTGTGAGGCCGAAACCAGCTGCATGCAGCAAATTTCGTGACCCCCCCTTTCCCAATCCCCCCCTTTCGCCCGGCCCGAGCCTTGGACCCACGTGCCGAGGGCAGGCTTGTCTTCGCGTCCGCGGCGTTGCCGCGTCGACTGCAGTCAAGCAGCCGGTGTTTCCGTTGTGGGCCAGTGCCACGTCGTCGTTGTCGTCGTCATTGTCGTCGTGGTCATCGATGTCGTCATCGTTGTCGTCGTGTCCTCGTTGTCGGCATCGCGTCGTCATCGTCGATCGCCGTCCGTCGTCATCGTTGTCGTCGTCGCCGTTGTCGACATCGTCGCCATCGTGGATTGTCGTCCGTCGTCGTCGTCATCGTCGATCGTCGATCGTCGTCGTCGTCGTCGTCCGTGTCGTCGCCGTCTTGATCCGCGTTGGAGTCACGTGCCGAGCAGGTTTTGGTGTTCCCGGCCGCGGCGTTGCCACGTCGAATGCAGCAGAGCAGCTTGGCCTTCGGCGTGCACCTCTGCCACGTGGCGCGCAAACCTGCACCGGACTTTGTTCGCCGGCCTGTCGCTGCCCCGCTGCGAATGGAGCGGCGCCGTGTACAGTCAACCCGCACAGTAAGGATGGGCAACCAGCCCTCCCAAGGGTACCCTCGCATCCTTGCCTTCTCGGCCCATCATTGGCCGCTCTCGATGGCCGCGGCCCGCTCGAGAAACCTCGAGATAGGCGTCCAAGGCCCTTGCATCCTTATCGCGTATCCTTACAGTGCCGTTCTTAATACATGCTCCGCGTGCGGATCATGTATTAAAAGTGCAGGGAGTTAGTATTAAAAACAACGATGAGTGCATGCATACATGTATGCATACATTAACCATGTATTAAAAATACCATACTTTTAAAAATCTTATGTATAAAAACTGCCATGTACTGCACGCGTTGATTGTATGTGTGCCCGCTCCTCGGCGTTGCCACGTGGCAAGTAGAACGGAGCACGCGCTCTCGCCGCCCCCAGGCGCTGCCACGCGGCGAGTACAGTGAGACTGTGCATTTTCGGCGGCCCGCGCGGCACTGCCACGTGATGAGCAGAGCGGAGCTGTATCGAGGGTGGACCAAAAAACCACTCCGACCCCGACACTTCGCGTTTACTAGGCAGCCCTGGGCGTTTACTGAACAGCCCTGCCCTGTTCGATTCCTTCCATGGGTGCGCTCACTAAACGGCTTCGCTTGTCGGGGTGCTTATTGTGGGGGTGGATTTTCTGCTCTCTGTTACACTTCACATTCGCCCCCCATGTCGTTGTCACGTGGCGAGTGGGGCGGGATAGTTCTTTTTGTTCCCCTTCGGGCCTTGCAACGTGGCGCTGCCATGTGGAATAGCATTCGTTCCCGCCCCAATGGATTGCCGCGTGCCTGGCAGAGACGAGTAATTGTTTTTGCCCCGCAGGCACTGACATGTGGCGAGTACAGTGGAGTAGTATTTGTTTCCCCCTTCCGAGCGTTGCCGCGTGGCGAGGAGAGAGGAGCAGCATTTGTTTCGATATTCCGGCGTTGCTTTGGGCGCCTCTTGGGGCCTTCTGGAAGCCTCTTGGGGCGGAAGGCTCGGATTTTTGCTTTGTGTTCCCTCTCTTGGGTTCCGCTTGGGGCCGTCTTGCGGCCCTCTTGGGCCGTCTTTGGATCCTCTTGGGCCGTCATTTGGCACTTTTATGCCGTCTTGGGGCCCCCTTGGAGGCTCCTGGGGCCGTTGTGGGGTGGTTTGGGGGGCCTCGTGGGCCGTCTTGTAGCGTCGGAAAGCCGAACATGCGAGAACGCCAAATTCATTCAAAGACCCAATTGATTGTTGCCTCTTGGGGCCCTCTTAGGCGTAAGTCATGTAGGACACGATAGGCGTTCAGAGAGTCTGTCTCGTCTTTGGTATGTTTGCCTGTCTTGCATAGCGTTATATATACAACCATTTTGGAGCATACTGCGGTCGTAGCTAGGGGACTGTGCGTACACAGTGCATCGCCGTGACGAGTGAGCTCGAGAAACACAGACATCACATCTGCACTGATATTGGTAGCGGGGCCGTGGCTCCGAGAGCTGCGGCTTGGCACGCCATGGCAGGGACCTCCAGAGCACCCGCGCTGCGCGTCGACATGGCCATCCCATCGTGGAGCGGGAAAGCCGAGACGCTGGAGGGCTACGCCATTGCCGTGGAGCTGCTGACGCTGGGCTCCTCCAGGGAGGTGAGGCCACTGTTGGGACCCAGACTGGTGGCCCCGCTGCCGCAGGGGTCCGCCCAGCAACGCTTCGCTCTCCGACTGCCTCGAGAAGCTGGCTTCGACCTGGACAGAGCCCCGCTGGAACAGAAGTCGATCGCCACTGTGGACGGCCCCAACAACCTGATAGAGGCGTTCAGGAGGGAGCTGGGGTCGCAGGTGGTGTCCGACATCGGCGAGAAGACGGACGCGTATTTCTATGCAGGGCCGGGTCGGAGTGCGCTGACTCGGCGACTGGGACAGAGCATGGCACAGTGGATCGAGGCAGAGCAGGAGGCGTACGACCAGCTACAGCGGACGTGCAGGCAGCTGGTGCCGGACGTGGGCGGCATCTTGCCCAGCGCCGTGCGAGGAGCCCTCTTCTGGCGGAACAGCAACCTAGATTCCTCGGAGAGAGCCGTGGTCCGCAGCACCATCAAGGGAGATTGGAAGCTCGAGAACGTGAGGAGGCCTGCGCGATGCGCGGGGCGAGAATGACCTGGCCGTGCGGGACAAGAAGACGAAACACATGAACCACCGCGCGGCCCACTGCACCGATGAGATCCACTGACAGACCTACGACGAGCAGGGAACCGACCACGAGCTGCCGCCGGACGAGTGCGTTCAGGCGGACGAGGAGGACGTCGCGGCGCTGGAGGAGCACGAGGCCCTGGCCGTGCAGGAGGCAGACGCAGCGACCCGCGCCTGGGAGGAGGCCCGGAAGCTACTCAGCGATGTCTCCAGGGCCCGCGGCTACTACCCAGTCGTGGGCCTGGCCGCGCTGCCACCGACCTGGAAAGGTGCAGGCAAGGGCGCGCGGGGGGGGCCCAAGGGCCGAGGCCGAGGTGACAAGGGCGCGCCGTCTCCCCCGAGAGCCCCGGCAGGCCAGGCTCGCGATCGACCGGGGCGACTCCAGCAGGGCCGAGGCGCCGGCGTGAAGTGCCTCGCCTGCCGGCAGCTGGGGCGCACAGCCGTGGACTGTCCCTCCAAGTACCAGACGGGAGGCAGAGGCAACGGGAACATGAACATCGGCTACGAGGAGGCGGACGACGAGACTGTGGACGGGGCCACCGTCTCCTGCGTATCTTACTGGGAGAGTGCAGACGAGTGGGTCCTGGCCATCTCCCTGAACATCGCGCTGGGCCTCAGCTTCTTCGCTGAGGCTGACCTCCGTGGCTACGCGATCGTGGGCAGTGGAGCTACCAAGTCCACGAGCGGGCTGGTCCTCTTCGAGTTCGCTCGGGAGCAGATCTACGGCGCGCACGGCCAGGGCCTGACGGACATGAACGCCAAGGAGCGGGCACGCTTCACCTACGCCAACAACACGACGGGCATGAGCGTCGGGGGAGGGGGCATCCCGCACTCGCTGGGGCTACGAGATCAAGGGGGTGAGCTCTGGTTCTCGCTCGTGCCCTCCGAGAGCCCGATGCTGCTGGGCCCGGGGACGGGGAAGGGGGCGAAAGTGACGCACGACGGCTGCCTGGAGTATTTGGGCGGCCACCGTGAGAGGCTCGAGCCCCTGCGCTCGGGCCACTGGGGTCTGCCGCTCCTTTAGGGGCAGCGACTGCAACCGGAGAGCGCGGAGCCGAGCGACGGCGCCAACATGCCCGCGGGGGCAGTCAGTCCGCCGTCAGCCTGCGCCGTCGCCCTTGCAGCTACGGCCACCCCGACGGGGGGCGCATCAGCCCCGTCACCGCTATCATCTCCACCTTCGACCTCCGGCGCGAGTGCGCCTCGACCGATGCCGACGCTAGCGGGCCCCGAGTGCGCCGACGCGGCTGCCGAGATCGACTTCGACACGAGCGAGCGCTATACCTAGCCAAACGGCAGCGTGATCGAGGAGCCTACCGAGTCAAACAGCCATGCGATCAAAACTACGGTGTCCGACGATATGATCACCTCGAAACTTGGGCCCATTTTCGCGTCCGTCGCCATGTGGGCTCGAGTGCGGGGCGAATTCTCAGAGCATGTCACATCCTCATGCCGAAGGGCAAAGCAACCCGGAATGGGAGAAGCTGGGCGAGCACCCGCCCGCAGAGGAGGCGCCCTCATCCTCAGCCGGACCTGACTGCTCACGGCCACCTGTCTCCCTGCGCCCTGGGTCTACGGGGCCGACGCCGAGCGCGGGGTCGCGGCCGACGGTGGAGGCGCGCCCCGCGCCGGAGGAGTACGACCTATCGCTCGAAGAGCTACACTACGACGCGCTGGAGCAGGCCAGCGACCTCCCGGCGGACGCGGACCCCCAGGCGAACCCCGAGCAGGTGGCCCACGTCTGCATGGAGATGGCCCGGTCTACGGCGCACGAGGAGGCGGCGCTCTGGTCGTGGCTCGGCAGCCTCGTTGGGCGCTGAGTGGAGCTCGCAGAGCAGGGGCGCGCGCGCCCTCGCATCGACCGGGCGGCCGAGCACCTGAAGAACGTGGCCCCTCAGGAGACGCGACCAGTAGCACCGCAGGTGCGGAACAGTCGCCGCCGCTGCACCGATGGGGCCGGCGAGCCCTCGAAGGGGGCCCCAGAGGGGGCTTCTCGGGGCGCGAGGGGGCCCGGCCACCGCAGGATCGCATGGTGGCCCTCGCTCAGGACAGGAAGAAGTGGAGATCTCGTGGCCGCGTCCTCAACTGCAGCAGGAACGGTCTCCCGAAGTCCGTGGACGGACCAGCGAGGGGACTGGGGAAGCACCTGGGTTGGCGGGGCTGGCGAGAGATCCGCCCCTATAGCCTAGAGCATCGCCGAGAAGCGCGCTGCGGTCGCCCAGCTGCAGGGCTACCAGGCGGAGCTGAGAGGCAATGAACTGGCGGCACTGAGGCCCTCGCAGCTGGACTTACTCGAGATCGGATGTCCGGGGGACTCGCCCCTGGGTCAGGCCATGGGGAGGAGGGCGGCGCATGGGCCTCTGGAACATGCACGACTTCCAGTGCGCCGGCGCGGTGGCGAAGGCCGAGGCATTCGTCGAGGCCAGGAGACCTCGGCGAGCCCACGTCTCTCCGCCATGCACGCCGTTCTCCGCCCAGGCCCTGGACCAGGAGAGCGACCAGCAGGTCACGAGCCCGAAGAAGAAGATTGCCTCGGGAACCAAACTCATGGACAACGTGATCGAGGTCGGCCTGCACGCGCTGCGCAAGGTCTGCGAGCTCAGTCTCGAGCAGCCCGCGAACGCCACCAGCTGGTGGACCGCCCAGTCACTGATGAACCTCCGGAAGCAGCTGTGCGAGGCCACCGCGGCAGAATGCGCCTGGGGAGCGCGGGACAGCGAGACGGGCCAGGCCGCGCGCGCGAACTGGAGGCCCCCGGTTCCCAACCAGCGGCCCGCAGGGGTCCACGAACGGAAGTGCCCTCGAGAACGCGCGCGCCGCCAGCTGGAAGGGCCGAAGCGGGTAGCAGACACGGCCAAGTACCCTGAGGCCTTGTGCCGAGCTCTCAGCCGGGAGGTGCTGGCCCGCGCCCTGGTGTCTGGGACCACCGCTGGCGCGAGCGAGATCGAGTGCGTTCCCCCCATCGGGGGCCGAAAATCGCGTCTTGGGCCCCTCTTGGGGCACTCGTGGGGCGCTCTCGGCTGCTCTTGGGGCTGTCTGGGGCTCCCTTGGGCCCCTCTCGGGACCCTCAGGGGCCCTCTTGGAGCTGCATTGAGGCCTCGGAGGGCCATCGGAAGCGAAAAGGCGAGAAGGCAACAATCATTGATTGTCCTTAGGTCATTGTAGGATGTTGGCCTCTTGGCGGCCTCCTGAGGTCCTGGGGGGCCCCGTGGCCACTTGGAGCCGTCTTGGAGCGGTTTCGGGGCTTTGGGGGGCATCCTGGGAGCCATATTGAGCCATCTTTGGCTATCTTGGGCCGTCTTGGAAGTCGTCTTGGGCTCTCTGAGGCCCCTTTGGAGCCGTCTTGGGCAATCTTATTAGATGCTCTGGACGTTCGCGGCCCCCCCCGTCCAGGTCCAGGGGAGGGGGTAGGGGGAGGGGTCAAAAGCCCCCCTCCCCGCCCGCAAGCCGTCGTCTCGCTCACTCCCACCCGCCCTCCCAACACATACATAGCACCCGAGCCTGGCCCGGGCCGCAACATATCCAGCAGTCGTCTTTGGATGGGGCAGCTACTGGGGGCCAATCCGCCGCCGCCGCCGCCGCCGCCGCCGCCGCCGCTTCCGCCGCCGCCGCCGCCGCCCGCCGCCGCCGCCGCTGTCCGCCGCTGCCGCCGCCACCGCGTTGCCCGCCGCCGCCGATGCCGCCGCCGCCGCCCCCGCTGCCAAATCGCCGCCGCCGCAGCCGCTGCCGCCGCAGTCGCTGCCGCCACCGCTGCCGCCGCGCCGCCGCCGCCACCGCCGCCTCCGCCGCCGCCGCCGCCCCCGCCGCCGCCGCCGCCCCCGCCGCGCCCTCCGCAGCCGCCGCAGCCGCTGCCCCCGCCGCAGCCGCCGCAGCCCGCCGCCGCCAAGTGTACCCTGTATTGTCTTCCGCCCGCCACCGCCGTCGCCGCCGCCGCCGCCGCCCGCGCTGCCGAATCGCCGCCGCCGCCGCCGTCGCCCCCGCTGCCGCCACCGCCGCCGCAAGCGCCCTTCCCGCCCGCAAACCGTTTCGTTCACTCCCACCCGCCCCCCGACCTATACGTAGCACCCGAACCTGGCCCGCGCCGCAGCATATGCAGCAAACGTCTTTGGAGGGGCAGCTACTGGGGCCACTCCGCCGCCGCCGCCGCCGCCGCCGCCGCCCGCCGCCGCCGCCACCGCGCCCCGCTCGCCGCCGCCGCCGCCGCCGCCGCCGCCGCTCCCGTTGCCGAATCGTCGCCACCGCAGCCGCTGCCGCCACCGCTGCCGCCGCCGCCGCCGCCACCGCCGCCGCCCCCGCCGCCGCCGCCGCAACCCCCGCCGCCACCGCCGCAGCCGCGCCGCCGCAGCCGCCGCCGCCGCCAAGTGTATTTTGTATTGTTTCTTGGCATGGATGGTGGGGGGGGACCGCATCGGGTTCGCTGCGCATGGTCCGAATTTGGATGCAGAGTGTGTTTTGTTTTGTTTTGTACAAAGGATGGTGGGGGAGGGCCCTCATTGACTCGGGTTGGCTCCCAGTCGCCCGGGGGAGGGGGTGTATATTAATAGGGAGCAGTGATCAAGCCACCCACCCGCCCGCAAACCGCCCACCCGCCTTCCAACACATAGCAGCTATTGGGAACCAAAGCCGACAACAGGTGCGCGACGCTGGGTCGGGGTGCGCCACGCGTGCCAGGGGCGCCACGCGCGCCAGGCACCCCTGGGCCCCGAGCGTGCCAGGCACGCCTGGTGCGGCAGATGCGCCACGTGCTCCAAGTGCATCAGGTGTGCCGCACACTCCAGCCGCGCCTGGTGCGCCACTTTCGGGGCACGTGCACACTGCGTCGGGTGCGCCTGCGCACGTGACAACGCACATCGGGAAACATGTCGGCCCCCGCCGTCCTTGTCAAAAACCAATGCTCATCATTGTGTCTGGTGGGCCTGCGCACAGCAGGCCACGTGCCACCATCCTTGCCGTCCCTGTCCAAAACCACTTGACAGTGGTTGCGGGATGGCCGCGCATGGTCCAGATTTATCCGCGGGGTGCATGTTGTATTGCTTTTTGTTTCCGACAGGGATGTGTAGCCTTGCGCACAGGGAGCAATATGCTGAAACCCCCGCCGTCCCTGTCTAAAAACAATACAAGGTGCTCGCGGGCCTCACGAATCTGACTCCAGACTTTGCCCCCAAGTGTACTTCGCATGGTTTTTTAACAGGGGTGGTTGCGGGGGGGGGGGGCCGCATCGGGTTGGCCGCGCATGCTCCAAATGTGGAGGCAGAATGCGTTTTGTATTGTTGTTTGGCAGGGATGGTGGAGGGCGGGCCCGCATGGAGTCGGCATAGTTCCCGGTTGGCCGCCGGCCGGGTGGGGGAGGGGGTGTATATGAATAAGGAACAGTGATCAAGACATCCTCCAGATTGCAAGCCGTCTGGTCCACTCCCACGCGCCCTCCCAACTCATGAGTAACACCCGAGCCTCAGCATGTTCAGCCGGCGTTTTGGGATGGACAGATACTGGGAACCAAAACCGAGCCCATGTGCGCGACGCTGGGGCGAGGTGCGCCACTTGTGTCAGGCGCGCCACGCGCGCCAGACACCCCTGGGCCCCGAGCGTGCCAGGCACGCTTGGTGCCCCAGACGCGCCACGTGCCTCCGCGTGCGCCAGGTGTGCCGCATACTCCAGCCGCGCCAGGTGCGCCACGTTCGGGGCACGTGCAGAGTGTGACAGGTGCGCCTGCGCACGTGACAGCACACATCGGGAAACATGTCGGCCCCCGCCATTTTTGTCGGAAACCGACGCGCATTATTGTGTCTGGTGGGCCTGCGCACAGCAGGCCATATGCCACCACCCCCGCCGTCCCTGTCAAAAATCACTTGACAGTGGTCGCGGGGTGGCCGCGCATGATCCAGATTTAGCCGCGAGGTGCATTTTGTATTGTTTTTTGTCAGGGATGTGTAGCCTTGCGCACGGCGAGCAGTATGCTGAAACCCCCGCCGTCCCTGTCTAAAAACAATACAAGGTGCTCGCGGGCCTCACGAATCTGACTCCAGACTTTGCCCCCAAGTGTACTTGGCATGGTTTTTTTTTAAACAGGGGTGGTTGCGGGGGGGGGGGGGCGCATCGGGTTGGCCGCGCATGCTCCAAATGTGGAGGCAGAATGCGTTTTGTATTGTTTTTTGGCAGGGATGGTGGGGGGGGGTGAGCATGGTTTCTGGCTGGCCGCTGGTCGCCTAGGGGAGGGGGTTTATGTTAGTTGGGAACAGTGAAACACCTGTTCCTGAATGGGAAGAAGGGGTTGGAAGAGGAGCCTCTCTAGACCACCTCCGCCCAGAGGGCTGGTGGGACTACGCTGTGTTCGCGTCCCCGAGGCCACGATCCTTTGTAGATTACCAAATGTTCGCGCTCTCGACGCCACGACCGCTAGTACATTACGTCAGGCCTGCGCCCCCGACGCCACAGTGCCTCGTGAATGATCGTGTGTTCGTGTTTCTAAGGCCACGGTCCCCATTCAATTATACAATGCTCGCGCCCCCGAGGCCGCGATCCTTCGTACATTGTGCAATGTTCGCGTCCCCGAAGCCACAGCTCCTGGCAAAGTATGCAATATTGGCGTCCCCGAGGCCGCGATCCGTGGAACCCTTCGTCGCGTCGCCGAGGCCACGACCCCTCGTGATGATGCTGATGCTGCTGGTGCTGGTGCTGGTGCTGGTGCTGGTGCTGGTGCTGATGATGGCTGATGATGGCTGATGATGGCTGATGATGGTGATGGTGCTGGTGATGGTGATGGTGATGGTGATGGTGATGGTGGTAACGATGACGATGATGATGATGCTGATGATGATGATGATGAGGATGATGACGATGACGATGATGACGATACTGATGATGCTGATGATGATGATGATGATCATGGGAATGATGATGATGATGATGACGATGATGATGATGATGATGATGATGATGATGATGATGCTGATGATGATGATGATGATGATGATGATGGTGGTGGTGGTGGTGGTGGTGGTGGTGGTGGTGGTGGTGGTGGTGGTGGGTGATGGTGGTGGTGGTGGTGGTGGTGATGATGGTGATGATGATGATGATGATGATGATGGTGGTGGTGGTGGGGTGGTGGTGGTGGTGTGGTGGTGATGATGATGATGATGATGATGATGATGATGGGTGATGGTGATGGTGATGGTGATGGTGATGGTGATGGTGATGGTGATGATGATGGTGATGATGTGATGATGATGATGATGATGATGATGATGATGATGATGATGATGATGATGATGATGATGATGATGATGATGATGATGATGATGATGATGATGATGATGATGATGATGATGATGATGATGATGATGATGATGATGATGATGATGATGATGATGATGATGATGCTGATGATGATGATGATGATGCTGCTGATGATGATCACGCTGACGATGGTGACTGTGATGAAGAGACGATGACGACGCTGACGCTGTCGTTGTCGACGAAGATGACGAGGGTGATGTGATGATGAGGAGAAGCAGGATGAGTAGGAGGAGGGGGAGGACCAGGAGCAGGAGCAGGAGCAGGAGCAGGGCGGGAGCAAGTGGATGCGACCGTGACCGTTGGTGTTGTGCCTCCACGGGGATGAGCCTCCAGAGGCGTCTCCTCTCCCGCAGCGCGCGTTTTCTTGCTGGCTTGCGGCGCGGTTCGAAGGACAGCATCGAGGGTATTTTCGACACCATGAAGGACCGACCTCCCCAAGCCCGCGCGGCTGTCACAGTTCCCGCGTCCTCGTCGTTGTCCTCGTCCTTGTCCTTGTCGTCGTCGTCATCGTCGTCGTCGTCCTCCTCTTCGCCGTCGTCGTCGTCGTCGTCCTCGTCGCCGTCCTCGTCCTCGTCCTCGTCGTCGTCCTCGCCGTCCTTCTCGCCGTCCTCGTCCTCGTCCTCGTCGCTCTCGCCGTCCTCGCCGCTCGTCGTCCCTCGTCGCCGCGGAGGGCGCGGTCCGAGGGGGGCCGCCAGGACGGCGTCCGGGACGGGCCCCGGAGGAGAAGCTCGCCCCGGGAGGGCGGCGGCGAGCGACAGGGCCGACGCGCGCGGGTCCAGGAGCAGGCCAGCCACAACTGGGGGAGCTGTGGTCCTTACCCCCCTGGGGGGACCCACCGATTTCGGCGCCCCTCTCCAGAGATCGTCGAGGCGATGGGTTCCCCCAGGGGGGGGGTGAGGGCCACAGCTCCCCCAGTTGTGGCTGGTCGGGGAAGGGGGGGGGGGGGGGGGGCGGCCCGGGGGGCCCGCGGAGGGCGGTGGGCCGAGGCGCGGCGGCCACGCGCCGCCACTTCTGCGCCCGAAGCTGAGGGGCTCGTTGGCCAGCACCGCCGCCATGAGTTGGGGAGGGGGCGGGGGTCCTCCTCCTCGCTCCTCCTCCTCCTCCTCCTCCTCCTCCTCCTCCTCCTCCTCCTCCTCCACTCGGAGGTGGATGGACCTCCTACCCTGACACGTCGATTAAGGAATTGGCCGTCTTCGGTTCGCGAGAGGGCGTCGCGGCCGTCGTTTTGGCGTGTCCAGGTCCGTCGGTTTCGGTCCTAGGCCGTTTTCACTAAAGGGAGGTTTACTAAAGGGAGGTTTGTCCGCCATGAGTTGGGGAGGGGGAGGGGGTCCTCCTCCTCCTCCTCCTCCTTCTCCTCCTCCTCCACCTCGGGGGCGGAAAAGAGGGGGGTGATGACTAGGGGGGGGGGATATCGTGGCGGGGGCCATGCTATCTCCCCAGATGTCATGGCGCCTCCTCTTGTTTCACTACGTCCCTGGCCCCCACGCTGGGCCGCGCACGTGCCGCCGGTCATGATCTGCACACCTCCCTCTTGGACACCCCCCTCTTGGCCGCTCCCGACCAGCTCCTCCGCCTGCTCCTCCAACCGCCCCTCCAACTGCTGCTCCTCCTCCTCCGCCTGCTCCTCCTCCTCCTCCTCCTGTTCCTCCTCGTCCTCCTCATCCTCGTCCTCCGCCTCCTCCCCCCCCTCCAGCTTGCGGTGGTGGCCTGTGGAAGCAGCCCCATCAAAAGCGGGGGCGTCTTCGCCGACACTGACGCGTGAGCTGCCCGCGCAAGTTCACGCGCAACCGCCCTCGTTCCCAGTGTCATGGCGCCAGCATCGCAGAGCGGATGGCGTTCGGAAAACGACGAGCAGATGGGCCCAGAGTCTCCTGGAGAATCACGTTCCGGATTTCGGGGTGAATTTCGTGCAGATTGCTCTTGGCCAGGAATGAAGAGTAGGAAAATTCCACGCGAAATCCACTTCGGTTTTCACTTGCCGTTTCGGGGCTTTGCATTGACAGAAATCCACGCAAAAGTCCGCCGCAGCACGTCTGCAAGGTCGGTTCCTTTGACCCATGTGTCGTGCCGCGCTGGTGGCCCGCGTGAGTCGCGGTGTAAGGTCGCTTTGCCACAGTGCGTAAGGCCGTTTCTTTGCATCGCTCATCTGGGGCCACGACCTAGCCGTCCAGGGCCGTCGTGGACGCTCTGGGCGACAGCTGGCCTCCTGGCCCACAACACCGTGGGGGGAATTCCTACACGTGGAGGGTCGACCCCTTCTGGCGTCGGGAGGAAACACACATCGGGGCTCAAGTGACGGGGGTCGATGCAGACAGGGGTCAGTCAGAGCGCTGGATCTTGCAGGATCCTGCAAAACAGGGGCTGCATTGACCCAGGTTAGCGCGCAGGATCCTGCAGGATCCTGAAGGATCCGGCAAGGCCTGACTGACCCAGGCTTGCATTGACCCGGGCCAGCCGAAGCCCAAGTCAGGTGCGTGGGCCAGTGGCGGGCCCTGTTGCCGTGCAGAATCGTCGCGCTCCGTGGCCAGATGAGGCAGCCCGCGCTTCATGCTCTGGTGGTACGTTCCCCGATCCGTGGATCTGGCGCCCGCGCGCCGGGTCCACGGCATCCCTCATCCCCGTTGGCGTGTGCCCGACGCAAGCGGGGACACTGGTGCGCCCGCGGTCTTAGTCTTGGGCTGGGCAGGAGACGGGGCAGGACGAAGGCACGGTTGGCCTCCAGCAGGGCGCCAGGCGGGCCACGCTGGCCAGAGATAGCTTCCAGCATGGCTCCGAGGCTCCACAAGACGGCCCCCAAGATGCCTCTGAGGTGCTCCAGGAATGCCTCAGAGGGGTCAATCTCTAGCAAGCCTGTTTTTGATGATTTGTGCCTTCTCGCCCTCTCGGCTTCCGCTCGGCTTCTGAGTCCTGAAGATCGTCACGTGATGGCCCACAATGTCCTGAGGGACCCAGAGGAGCCTCGAGAAGACTCCAAAGGCCCTCACAGCACCCCACAAGACCGTAACCATTTCAAGCGAGTCTCAATCAAGGACCTCCGGCTTTTCGGATCTGGTGCCTGCTAGGTTGATCATGGCATGTTGCCCAGCCAACTCAGCACCTTACCTAGCCGCCGACCATATCGACGCAGGCTGCAAGAAGCAGGTTGACGGCGTCCCTTACTATCACGTCGGTAAGGGGCCCATCGGGTTGCTGCTGTTGAGTGACATATTTGGCTGGAACTCGGGGCGCATCCGGGCGTTTGCAGACTCTTTTGCAAAAAAAGGGTACAACGTGTGGATCCCAGCAGTCATGGACCCGCTCGAGGGTGGCACTGACGGGGATGGCTTGCCTCCCGACTTCGATTTCGGAAGTCGAATCATGGAGGTCGTAGCGTTGTCCTCTCCCACTGGAGCGTGGAATCCAGATGGCGTTACAGTAGCCAAGGCCGAGAAGGTTGTGAAGGCAATGCTCGCGTCGGGCGTGGTCAAGTTCGGCATCATCGGGTTCTGCTATGGAGCTTGGCTTGGCATGTACTTAGCTGGTAAACTGCCTCCGAGTCAGCTAGTCTGTGCTGCCGGCGCACATCCCAGCATTTTCATCGGCGAGACGAACGTCGGCAAGGACCCGCTGGAGCTCACAGCGATGTCGAATTGCCCTTGGGTCTTCTATCCCTGCGGCCCTCCAGACGCCGGAGGCATGGCGGAGGGCCCCGAGTACGACGATGGCGGAAGCTTATACCAGGTGCTCGAGAAGAAGTTTCCTGGGAAGAACCGCACGCATCGCATGCAACACATGAATCATGGTTTCATGACGCGTGGCTCTATCGTTGGAGAAGCGGGAGAAGATACAAAAATGGCAATTATGGAGGTCGTCCGGGACATGGATGCGTTTTTCGCCAGACACTCATTGCGTCCCCAAGCGGCTATCCGATGCTGGCCACTCTCACATTGCTTTGCTGGATTCGCTCGTACCTAGCCCAATCGCCGTCCGTTGTTTTCCCTGGGTTTCCCAATTTCGCCTTTCGCGCGTGCGATAGTGCCCTAGTCTCGTGTGACATTACCGGCTTGTGCGGTGGTTTTCCGTCTCACGTCTTGAAGCCATTTGGTAATAGGCTTTGGTTGCGACAGAAAACAGTGAGGGTCCAATCATGAACCTAGCACAAGGCAAGGCAAGGGTTGAATCCTGCGTGCAGCCCGCAACCAGGGCCGCATTGAACGCGCAGCGCATCTTCATTCCTATTATGTCTTCTAATTTCGATTGGCGCACAGGGTGCACGCGATCCTCGCCATCCTCTGTGTGCTGAGCTTTTTGCTTCCACATGGTCTTAGAAGAGAAGTAGAGCACGAGAGGGAGGAGAGGGAGGCAGGAGGAGGAGGAGGAGCATAAGGAGGAGGAGGAGGAGGATAAGAAAGAGGAGGAGGAGGAGGAGGAGGAGGAGGAGGAGGAGGAGGAGGAGGAGGAGGAGTAGGAGTAGGAGGAGGAGGAGGGAGTCAACATGGACATGTACTTGTGTACACATTTACGTATATACGTAAGTATAGTATGTATACATGTGTATGCGTATACAGTATACATGTAGAATCCCCATCCTCCACTCTCCTCTTATCCCTCCCTTCCTATCCGCACGTTGCGCGGAAAGCCCCGGCGCCAAGACGTGCGCGCTCATCTCCAAGTCCGCCGGCGGCATCGGCGTCGCGATCTCGAACGTGCGCGCGAACGGGTCCGCCGTGCTCGGCAACAACGGGCAGTCCAAAGGCACCCCCACCTACTCGCGGTCCGAGGGGCGGGCAGGGTAATTGGCCTAGACGCTGTATTAAGGAACGGTTCGGGTTCGGAGGGGGCTCGCGCTACCTTACGTCCTTCCATGGTTGTTCTTCCAGGGCTCCTCGCGCACCCAGCCGCTCTTGGGCCCGAAAGGCACTTCGTTCCTTATGTGGCGTTCCTTCTGGTAGCACGATGGCTGTAAGCCGAGCTACTCCAGGAAGCCAGAGCCAGTCTGGGCCGATCAGAGGCATGCCGAGTGCGGCAGGGGGCGGCGAGGAGAGGAAGGAGGGAGAGGGAGGAGGAGAAGGAGGAGGAGGAGGACAATGGCGAGGGAGGAGACCAAGGGAAGAGGGGGATGGAGCAGACGGACGAGGAGGAGGAGGAGGAGGAGGAGGAGGAGGAGGAGGATCGACTACTCGTAAGAGTACCCCTTCGCCGGAGTGACCTTTGGTGCGCGCTCGGTGGGGTCCCCCGATCGCCGCGCTCTGTGCGATAGTAGCGTCTTGCGCGCTTGTGTTTGGCCTCCCCGCGCCCCCCAAAAAGCCACTCTTGCCCAGGGCCACTCTTGCGTGCAGCCGAGGGGAGGACGGGGGGGAGAGGTGGGCCTCCCTCCCCGGCGCCGCGAGGCCTCGTGCCCATGCTCCGCGCGTTCAACGAGACGGCCCGCTGGGTGGACCAGGGCGGCGGCAAGCGGCGGGGCTCCTTCGCCATGTACCTCGAGGCGTGCGGCCGGCTGCCGCGCTGCCGCCGCCGTCTCCGTCGTCACTGCCTGCGGCGGTCGCCACGGGGCGGCTCTCGGAGAATTGCTTTGGGCCTCGGGTCAGGATGTTCCAACCTACTTTGAGCCTTGACCGCCAGGGCAGACATCGAGCACCAAGGAAGTACCGAACCTTGAGGGTCTTCACGTGTCGGGCCCTGGGAGGCGATACTCGTCCGACACGGTTTCGACACCTTTCTGGGTGCTCGAAATTAGTTCTGGGATGTGGTCCTTACGTACGATGGGAGCAACAAGACCCTCGGGATGCCTTCCAGCAGCTGCGCCTCGCTGAGGGCGCGCTGGGAAGCGCCCGGCTCGTCTCGAGCAGCCGCTGGAGGCCCGAGTTCGGGCCCGAGGGCCGCGCGGGTGGGGCCGCGTTGGGGTTCCAGCGACACGCGCACGGGGGAGTCGGGTCTTGTTCTTGTGCCACAGTGGGGGCCCATGCCAAGAAACACCCTGTTTCCCTTCAGGGTACCCTGGGCTTCTTGGGTTTCGATAGTCCTGCGATGGGCACCGAAAATCCATGAACGTCCTGGGGTCTCAGGGTTGGGTTTCTTGTGGAAGGTTTCTTGTGATCGGCCCCCCCCACTGTACGTTCTCTCGAGGTGGGCGTGGGGCGTGTGCTGGGGGGCGCTTCTTCGCCCTCCCTGCCTGGCCCACGGCCTGTATCTTACTACCCAGCTGCCCTGCTGGCGAGACGCTGCCAGGCCACTAACCTGGCACACTGGTAGAAGAGGACGAGTAACAGAGGACATGGAGAAGAAGAAGAAGAAGAAGAAAAATAAGAAGAAGAAGAAGAAGGAGGAGGAGGAGAAGCAGAAGAAGGAGAAGAAGCAGAAGAAGAAGGAGCCGTCGTCGTCGAGGAAGCGCTGAGGATGATCGCGGATTCCTTGGGTTGCTGTTGCAGCCCTTTCTGCCCCCGGAGGCCCGTGGCCCAGAGCCCCGCGGGCCAGGGACCTCCAGGAGCCCTCCGCGAGGCCTCGAGGAGGCCTCCGGGAGGCCTCTGGAGACCCGGGCCAGACCCTTGGCATCGCTCGGACGTGTGCATTTTTTCCTTCGGCGAGGACCATCGAGGAGCATCCTTGATCATTCGGCGAACAAACACGCACGAAACCGAAAAAAAAAAACACAGGAAATGGACGTCCGAGCGATGGCCGGGACCTCTGGCAGACGTTCTCCGGCGTCCGGAGGCCACTCCCGGGGCCCGGCATCCAAGAGCCGTCGGGCAGCGGGCCGGGACGAGGCCAAGTCGGGCTTGTCCCTCGATCTGCAGAGGAGTATTCAGAAATGGTCCATAAAAAAGCTCTGGGGACTTCTTGTTGACCGTGTTTGGGGATTTTGGGGGCATGCTTTGAGTATTCTGCATGTTTCGCCCAAAAATCCCCCTGGGAGGGGGACAGGCCCGACCTGGGACGAGGCATAAGCGTCGAGGGGGAGGGGTCCAGGGGCGGGCGGCATGCGTTCAGGGGTTCAGGAGAGGGAGGCATCGGACGGGGCTGGGACGGGGCGCATCGCTCGGACGTGTGCATCTGTCTGTTCTCGGCGAGGAGCATCGAGGGGCATTCTGAATCATCTGGCAAAGGAAAAATCACGCACGACATCGGAAAAGACACGGGGAGTGGACGTCCGAGCGATGGCGAGGAAGGGGGGCGGGTCGGACGGGGCTCAGACGAGGACGAATCCTTTCCAGAGCGTTGTGGATTGCTCTCAGAGCGTGCTGGAACGCTCTGAGAAGGTCGTGGCGCCCGAGACATCCTGCAGAGCCGCCGGATCTCAGAGATTCTCGATTTGTCCTCGCCCGATGTGATCCTCGTGTTGCCTTCGTCTTAAGGTAGGAGCTGGAGGGCAAAGTCCACATGCTTCTAGGAGGCCAACATCTCGGGACCATGCCAAGTTCTGTTGTCACCTTCTGGCCACGAGCGTCTGTAGATACATGGGGCGTCGCTACGTGCGTAGACACTTTCGGGGTGGGCACGCCTGTAGACAACGGGGCCGTTTCGTTCGGCACAGTGCAAAATCGGAGAAAGGTATATATCCGTCTACGGTATATGTTGTTCTAGAGCAGGTCCCACATGGCACTCCAAGGAACGAAGGAGTTGCCAGCCCGAAACACATCCCCATGAGTTGCATCGTCCTGTATCGGCGTTGTTCTTGAGGGTCTCCACGGGCTCTGAGGGCACATCCATCGCCTTGGGCGTGCCAGTCTTTACGATAAGGATGAACTCGAGGCTGGTTAGGGAGGGAGGAGGCAGGGTGGTCGGTCTCCCTGTCTCTCTCATTTCTTCCATCCCTCCTCCCGCTCCTCCTCCTCCTCCTCCTCCTGCTCCTCATCCTCCTCCTTCTCCTCCTGCTCCTCCTCCTCCTGCTCCTCATCCTCCTCCTCATCCTGCTCCTCCTCCTCCTCATCCCTCCCCTCCCTCCCTCCCGCTCCTGGGGCACCAGCGAGTTGTCTGTTTTGTCTCGCAAGCCTCCGCCCGCTCCCCGAACGCCGTGCAGTGCTGCAGCGTCAGCCAGTCGCCCTCCCTTGCCCCATTTCGGTAGCAAATCATGGGATCTTCGTATGTCCTCGCACTTCCGTTCTTAGAGTGCAGTAGCGTGCGCTAGCGTCTGCTAATCGACGAGAGAGCGCCGATTTAGCGTTGAATGACGTCGATTGAGCGTCTTGTAGCATCGATTCGCAAGAGCAAGCAAGGTGGCATGGGAGGCTACCGTTAGTTACCACCAGGCTCCATCCATCTCTCCTAGCCCCTCCCTCGGTAAGGCCGTTTCGGGAGATCAAGATTTTCAACGATACCCCAATTGGGGAGTACGACACACATCGCCCCCCCCTCTCCCTCCCCCTCCGAAGCCATCCCTTTCCTCTCCACCTGATTGTGCCCCCTCCCTCTCGATTCCCTCTCTTTGTCTCCCCTCCGTCTCTCTCTCTCTCTCTCTCTCTCTCTCTCTCTCCCCTCACCTTGTCCTCCCTCCTCCATCCCTCCGTCCACCCTCCTCGCCCCCCCCCCCCCACGTGCACCCTCACTGCACAGCCTTGCAGGGCCTTGCGCAGGTTTTTGACAGTGTGTACGCCTTCTCGGCGCCCCCGCGGCTTGGCCCCCTCCCATGGGCGCTGGCGCCCACAAGCCAATCGACGTCTAACCAGCCCTGGCTTCCCCTCTTACGATCGGACCGAGGCATCAGATCGAGATCGGTGCGGGGAGGGTGCCCCAGTGTTCTTCATTGTTGGTGGGCGCTCCTGCGTGTCCTGGGGGAGGGTGCCCTCGAATGCTCTCCAGTTTGGCCCGCGGAGGGACTCATGTCCTTACATGATGTTATTCTGCCCCAGGTCCGGCCATATGCTCGCCGCTCGTGGGGCTTCTCCTGCTCCCCTTGCCGTCGTCTGACGCTGTCCTGCGGATCGGGCCCGTCGGTGCCCCATCACTGCGCCTCTGCCAGGCCACCCAGGATGGCTTGATGGCACGTCCTTGAAGGATGTTCGTCTGTCCCAGATCTGGCTGTACCCTCTGATGGGCCTGTTTTCCACCACCACCACCAACACCATAAGTTGGAGGGGGAAAGAGGAGGAGGACGAGCAGGAGGAGCAGGAGGAGGAGAAGGAGGAGGACGAGGAGGAGGAGGAGGAGGAGGAGGAGGAGGAGGGGAAGGAGGAGGAGCAGGAGGACCCCCTCCCCCTCCAACTTATGGTGGTGGTGGTGGAGGAAGACAAGCCCATCACCCTCTGTCCCCGCCCCCCTCGGGGCCAACGCTCCGGAAGGGCAGCCCGCCCCGCTCCTCGTCCCCCCCTCCTCCACCTCCACCTCCACTTCCTCCCCCTCCTCATCCTCCTCCTTCTCCTCACCTTCCTCCTCCTCCTCCTTTTCCTCTTCCTCCACCTCTTCACCTTCCTCCTCCTTCTCCTCCTCCTCCTCCTCCTCTTCACCTTCCTCCTCCTCCTCCTCCTTTCCTCTTCCTCCACGTCCTCTTCCTCCTCTTCCTCCTCCTCCTCGTCCCCCGCACCTCCACCTCCGCTTCCTCTCCCCCTCCCCCTCCCCCTCCCCCTCCCCCTCCCCCCCTCCCCCTCCCCCTCCCCCTCCTCCTCCTCCTCCCTCCTCCTCCTCCTCCTCCTCCTCCTCCCTCCTCCTCCTCCTCCTCCTCTCCTCCTCCTCCTCCTCCTCCTCCTCCTCCTCCTCCTCCTCCTCCTCCTCCTCCTGTCCATCTCCCTCATGTCCCCCCCCAGACTTTCACAGTGATGCTGGGGGGCGAGGGCGGGCTGCGCCGCGAGGACGGCATCGATGCCAGTGCTTCCCAGCGAATCCTGTCCCCACCCCCGGCCGCGCAGCCGAGCTTCCCCCGCTCTGCTTGCGCCCTTGCTCCTATAAGGACTCCTCGTGTGTTGACGGCAGCTCTGGCACAGTCAGCGCGCACAGTAAGGACGAACGGCTTTCCAAGCTTACCCTTGCTGATTGGCCTGTTTTTCACCACATCCATCAGAAGTTGGAGGGGGAGGGGGTCCTCCTCATCCTCCTCCTCTTCGTCCTCCTCCTCCTCCTCCTCGTCCTCCTTCCCCCCTGCAACTTCTCGTGGTGGTGGTGGAAAACAAGCCCATCACGTGCATCCTTCCCCTTTCGGCCCATCCTTGGCCACTCTCGCTTGCCGCGCCCCGCTCGACGTGGCCTTTCGAGGCCCTTGCATTCTGATCGTGCGTCCTCAGCAAGCGTTGACTGTAATCCCACCCCCTCCTCGCAACAGCCGTGGCACGCGGACGTGTTCGACTTCTTGGAGATGCGCAAGAACCACGGCAAGGAGGAGCGCCCGCCGGGCGCAAGGGGTGGCTGGCGGGGATGGTCCCACCCGCCCGGGCAAACCCCCCCACCTTCTGGGGCGGCCCGGGCCGCACTTCGACGGCGAGGACGAGGACGGCGGCGAGGGCGGCGGCGAGGACGGCGGCGGCGAGGACGGCAACGGCGACGGCGACTGCGACGGCGACGGCGACGGACGACGGCGACGACGAACGGCGACGACGACGACGAACAACAACGACGACGACGACGACGACGACGACGAACGACGAACGACGAGCGACGAACGACGACGACGACGAACGACGACGACGACGACGAGGACCACATGGACGACAAGGGCGAGAGCGACCAGGTCTCGGCGGCGAGGACGACGAGGGCGGCCCCCGAGCCCGGCCCGACGGCGAGCCCGCGCCTGGCTCGCCGATGGCAGACATCCAGCTAGCGGCGCATTTGGTTCTCACGCTCGGCGCTGGTCTTCGACCGCGCCCGGTCCGCAATCTTTCTTCAGGCTTGGTCTCGCCTTCGGGTGAGTCCTGTTCTATGCTGCGTCCTGCCTCCCTGTCGTCGTCGTCGTCCTCATCAGCATCACCATTATCATCGCTCGCTTCTTCTCGCTCCTCCTCCTCATCCCCCACCCCTCCTCTACCTCCTCCTCCTTCTGCTCCTCCCCCTCCTCCTCCTCCTCCTCCTCCTCCTCCTCCTCCTCCTCCGCCTCCTCGCTCCCCCTCGCTCCTCGCTCATCCTCCATCCCTTCGCCCCCCCTCGCCTCCCCACGCTCGCTCGCTCGCTCGATCGCGTCTCTTCCTCCTCCTCCTCCTTCTCGAGCCCCGGCAGCGCCGCCCGGCGTGCTCACCGCCGCCGGCCCCCGCCCGGGGCCGAGTGGGGGGGCCTTCTCTGCCGGTGGCGGCGGGGGGTGGGAGGAGGAGAATCAAAAGGAGGAATGGTGGTTTGAGAAGGAGGAGGAGGAGGAGGAGGAGGAGGAGGAGCAGGAGAAGAAGGAGGAGGCGGAGGCGGAGGCGGAAGAGGAGGAGGAAGAGGAGGAAGAGGAGGAGGAGGCGGAGAAGGAGGAGGAGGAGGAGGAGGAGGAGGAGGAGCCAGGAGGAAAAGTAGGAGGAGGAGAAGTAGGAGGGTGAGGAGGAGGAAGAGGAGGAACAGCATGAGGAGGGGGATCAGGAGGAGGAGGAGGAGGAGGAGGAGGAGGAGTGAGGAGGAGGAGGAGGAGGAGGAGCGAGGAGGAGGAGGAGGGGGAGGAGGAGGAGGAGGAGGAGGAGGAGGTACAGTATGTGGAGGGCTCCTCAGCTCTTCCCCCCTCTGCCCCCACAGGACCCAAGACGTCCTCCTCTCCTGGTCCTCCTTTTCCTCCTCCCCCTCCCTATCCCTCTTCCTGGGCAGGCACGGTCGCCATTCCTTCCCCCCCTCCTCCCCCCTTCTCTCCTCTCCCCTCCCCCCTCCCCGAGGGAGGAGGGAGCTTCCTCCCATTCCCTCCCCTCCTCGACCCTTCGCCCTCCGCTCCCCTCCCCTTCCCCCTCTCCTCTGGCCTCGTCCCTCCTCGCTCCTCCGACGGCGCCACGCCGGGCGCGCGCGAGAGCCGCCCCCCCCCCCCCCACCGGGGCGCGGCGCGGCGCCCCGCCCCCCCGGCTCGCCCTCGCAGGAGCAGCGCGCGCGCGACCTCTTCTACGCCCTGTGGGTGCCGGACCTCTTCATGGAGCGCGTGAAGCAGGAGCCGCGCGCGCGGGGGCTCTCGGCAACGCGCAGAGGGGGGTAGGGGGAGGGGGGAAGGCTTCTTAGAAGCACCCCTGCTTCTCAGAAGGCGCGGGCCTTCTCTATAGACGTAAGGCCGAGGCCTTCTAAGAAGCAGGAGTGCTTCTAAGAAGCCTTCCCCCCTCCCCCTACCCCCTTTGGCGCGCCGCCAGGGCTCCCTGCCCGGGGGGGCCGTTGTGGGCCTCTGGGAGGCCTCGGGCCGCCGCGGCCGGCTTCAGAGTCCACTCGCAGACGCGACCCCTCGGGGTGCTCAAGTGCTATGCCTGCTATGGTACGCCGATGACCCGCCTCGGATTCGAACATGAAGTGCGGATTCCTCAACAGAGTAGGCTCCCGCTCGAGACGTCCTCACACTTTACTCACAGGCGATGCTCCCTTGGGGTGCTCAAGTGCTCTGCCTGCTATGGTACGCCTCGGTTCGAACATGAAGTGCGGGGCCCCTGGGGGGGGTTCCATTCGAGACGTCTTCACAGTTTACTTCGACCAGTGGTCGATGATCATGATGGCATGGCCATAGTGATGATGGTGAGGATGATGGTAGTGCTATTCATGATGGTAAGTGAGAAGGCACTGATAGTGTGATGATTGTGATTATGACGATGGTGGAGAGAAGGACAACAGTGATGATCATGGCTTGGTGATGAGTGAATGAGTGATGAATGAATATGGATGGTGGAGTGAGCGTGGGGACGCTGATGATGATGCTAATGCTGATGATGATTATGATGATGATGAGCATGCCTGTGATGATGATGATGATGATGATCATAATGATGATGAGGATGATACTGATGGTGATGGTGATGGTGATGGTGATGATGATGATCAGGATGATGAGGATTAGGATGAGGATGAGGATGATGCTGATGCTGATGGTGATGCTGATGCTGATGATGACGATGATGATGATGATGATGATGCTGATGTTACCGATGATGGTGATGATGATGATGATGAAGAATATGATGAATATGTTGATACTGATGATGCTGCTGAGGATGCTGATGATGATAATGATGATGCTGCTAATGATGATGATGATGATGATGATGATGATGATGATGCTGATGCTGATGATGCTGATGCTGATGATGATGATGATGATGATGCTGATGCTGATGCTGCTGATGCTGATGCTGATGCTAATGAGGATGATGATGATGATGATGATGATGATGATGATGATGATGATGCTGATGCTGCTGATGATGATGATGATGATTATGATGACGATGATGATGATGATGATGATGATGCTGATGCTGCTGATGATGATGATGATGATGATGATGATGATGATGATGTGTGAGTGCATGAATGCATGAGTGTCAGAGCGTGAGAGTGTAAGAGTGTGAGAGTGTGGAGGAGAGGGGGAGGGGGAGAAGGAGGAGGAGGGGATCCTGCGCAGGGGGTGTGCAGAAACAAAAACCAACTCTACTTTACATGTGGCGACAACAGAGGAGGGGGAGGACCACTGTAAGCACAAGACGCGCCAACTATGACCCTCCCTCCGAGTTCCCCCTGCGTAGGTCCCTACCGGCATTCATCTTCACTGCGGGAAGTGCCGTGGGAAGAAAGCCGCTTGAGAATCCTCAGTCATGTCAAGACCTTGATCCTGGGACTGTTGCGTCCTGACCGTTCCTACGTGACTGTTGCGTCCTGACAGTCCTAAATCGTGCCAGAAGACCATTCCTGGGATTTCAACGCCGCGAATCAACGTGACTGTTGCGACCTGAGAGTCCTAAATCGTGCCAGAGGACCATTTCTGGGACGTCAACGTCGCGAATCAACGTGACCGTCGCGTCCTGCCCTACTAAACTGTGCCGGCAAACTAAGGTTGGTATTTCAGCATCGCGAGTCAACATTACAACTGCGTCCTGACAGTCTTCAATCTCGCCAGACCCCTTTTCTGGGACATCACCAGTTCGATGTTTGCGACCTGGTGCACATTTGTCAGGAGGATGTGCTTGGCGCTGAGGCAGTAGCCACATTCTGAAACAAGAACCACCATCTATCTTTGAAATTGCTACAAATTTATCAGACGAATTTGCACGGCGCTAAGGCGAAAGCCACATCATGAAAACCACCCGCCCTCCATCCTTGAACCTGTTGCGGATTTTTACGACGAGTGCGCGCGGCGTCGAGGCGAAAGCCCCATTTCGAAAACGGCCCGCACGAGTGAATCTGCGCGGCGCTGCGACGTGAGCCACATTTTGAAAACGGCCCGCCTTGCATCCGTGAAACTGTTGCAATCCTCGACGGCGTGAGTTTTTTTTGTTTGTTTCTATCTTTGGCGTAACGCTCGTTACCCGGCCTTCCCCCCCCCTGGTAACGCTCACGATCGTGCTGTGGGGGACGGGGCTTGTCCACCCCCCCCTACATGCTGGGAGCGGACCCCCCGCACATATGGCGTTCGGCATGTCGTGGTCTGAGCGGCACGCATTGGTACTCATAAACGTGTTGTGGCGCTCGCAGTCGTCATCATCGTCGTCGTCTTCGTCGTCGTCGTGGTCATCGTCGTCCAATGCAGCCGGGGATGGCTCAGCTACCGCAGGCTGGTTCGACCACTCTTCCGCAAGTGCAAAAAGCGGTGGCTCTCTCTCTTCCTTTTGGCCGGTGCTCGGTCGCAGTACGATACAGTCAACGCGCCTAATAACGACGCGCGCCTTCTCCAGGGTAACTTTGCGTCCTTGCCTCTGCGGTCTGTCCTTTGCCGCTTTCATTGGCCAGCTTTTGCATTTCAAAACTCCAATTTCGGTTTCCAAAGGTCTTGCGTCCTTACCACCCGTCCTTAGTGCACGTATCGATTGTAGGCCCAGCGCCATTGCGAAGATGAAGACTGGGCGGCCCCGCGCCTTCTCCCGCACGCGTAGTGGTGTGCGCAAGCGCTGTGATTCACGCAGGCAGCGTGGTGCACATTGGCGCTGCGTTGCGCGCGACTACGGTGCTGTGGTGTACGCAAGCGCTGTGGTGCACGCAGGCAGTGTGGCGCTCGGCGCGTCGCAGCGCTGGTGTACACCGACGCAGCGTCGGCGCGTCGGCGACGCTGTGTTGCACGCGACTGTTGTGGCGAACGCAGCCGTTGTGGTGTATGCAGGCTTTGTGGTGTACGCGTGCAGAATCCTCAGGCGCTCTACTTTCCATAAACATGTGTGTTCAGAACGTGTGCATTTTTTTGTGGCATCCAACGGCGCCCCAATTTCCAGAGGGATTATTTTATAAAGCGAAGAGTTTTTCTGTGGAGTACAGGCGTTCCGCTTTCCATTGCGATTTTTCAAATTCTATGTGAAAGACGGGGTTATGTGGAATTTAGAGGCGATCCATGTTCCATAGGGTTTCCTTGAGTAATCATAATATAAACACGCGTTGTCGGTATAATCCCATTATATACAACGGTTGCCGCAGAAAACACAGGCGCTGCGGAGTGCGTGGGCGACGTGGTGCTGCAGTGCACGCGGCGGTTGTGGTGTACGGAGGCACTGGTGTGTACAAAAGTGGCATTGTGTTGCACGCAGGCATTGGGCATTGGGCATTGTCGTGTGCACGGAGTGCGGTGCACACGGGCGATTGATGCGCTGGTGGCGCGGACGCACCGTAACGGGCGCACGCCGCGACCGCCGTTACCATTACCTCCGCAAGGCCAGCCCTCCCCCCGGTAATGGTCGCCATCCGGGAAAGAAAAAACGGTCACGGTTCCCGTATCTTCGCCAGCCCATTCCAAAACAGCAGGGGGTGGGGGATTCAGACGGGTACCGGGCGAGGAATAATGATAAGAAGCATAAAAGCAGACGACGACGACGACGACGACGACGACGACGACGACGACGACGACGACGACAGGAGTAACCCTCAAGGCCTTCGCAGATCGTTCGCCGTGGGAGCGTCTGGGTGGTCTCGTGGGGCCATTTTGGAGACATTTTGGTCCTCATTCGTGTTCTCTTGGGGCCCTTTGGGGACCCTCTTGGGGCCCTCTTGGGGCCCTCTTGGACATCTTGTGGCCGTCTTGGGAACCATCGACCAGCACAGAGCGGCGTGGAGTTGGGTCCCCCCGTCGGGGCCCTGCCATGAGCCCCTTGGGACCTCCTTGGGGCGTTCTTGGGGCGGCCGTGGGCGGTCCCTCTGGGGCCCCTGCTGGGGGCCGTCTGGAGCCATCCTGGGGCCGTCTTGCGGCCTCCAGAGTTTCATCGGAAACGAGACGGTGAGAGGGCAAACGAGCCCAGAGAATCACATGGGAAACCGACGGATTTTAGCCGCCTATGGGGGCCTCCGTGGGAGGCTCGGAAGGGCACTTGGAGCCTTCTCGGAGCGGTCTTGGGGCCTCTTGGAGGCATGTTGGAAGCTATCTTGGGCTCTATTTAGCGATCTTGGAGGCCATCTTGGGCTCCTTGGAGCCCTCTTGAAGCCATCTTGGGCCATCTTGCACGCTCCGATCCCTCGCAGGACGACCCCTTCAGAGCCAGGAGGAGGAGGCAGGGGGAGGGGGACCCCCGTCCCGAAGTAGCAGAACGAGTGCCGTAGACCACTCACGCCGAGAGGGCTGGTGGGATTTCAGTCTTCAGGATCACACATGCTGAGGAAGTCTCAGGCGGAACGCCCCTCTCGCCCTAGCGACACATTTGTGGGTGCGACAAGGGGGAAATTCTGTATGATGGGAGGGGACGGTGGAGGAGGAGGAGGAGGACTAGTTGCCGCCTCCGTCCTCACTCTCTCTCTCTCTTCAGTCATCGTTCCGTCCGCGTTGTCCCTGCTCCTTGTTTCGCCACGTCCAGTTGTTGCTGCTCTTCCTCGTCCTCCCCTCGCGTTCCCAGACAGGCCACAACAAAGATCAGCTCAACGCGACAGCACAGACCTTCCCTTCTCCGTTTGCCATGCGCTCATGTTGGGTACCTCGGAGGTTTTTTTTCTTTCGGAGCGTCCGCCTTGCACGCTTCGCCGGGTGCGAGTGTGGCAGCATGCCCTCGGCCTGTGCAGGGAGGCCCGCCTGCTGGCTTGCACTCCGCGCGGCCTGCTGGGTCCAAGCTCCGAGCCAGGCACGGTGGCCTCTCCGAGCCTGCGCGGGCGGCATCGGCCAGGCGGAGGCGCGCGTCGAGCAGCTGTGCGCGCACAACAGAAGAGGCACGGTGTGCGGCGTTCCACGAGGCGCGGCATGCTGGCTCGCGTGACTGCATGTATGCGGTTGTGCGCCCCTCGCCCGCGCCCAGGCACCCATCCGTGCCTTCGGCGAAGGCACGTGTTGGCGTCCAAGCCCGCAGCTCCCCCCCATTCGGGCACGGCTCCTCTGCCCCGCTGAACGCTCGACTCCAAGACAGGCAGAGCTCGAGCGCGCGCGACGCTCGCGCGATGACTCTAACACGCACAGATACACATCCACAACCACAGCCATACACGTATCATACAAGTACCGGTGTTCATGACGCTCTAATCGGCGGCGAGCGGGGGGGGGAAATGGGAAGGAGAAGGCCTTCTCAGAAGGCGGCGGGACTTCCCAGAGTTCCTTGCCATTTCTGAGAAGTTTCGCGTGTCTTCGGAGAAGGCCCGCCCCTCCTCGCTTCCACCCGGGCTCGCCGCCGATCTAAACTCGATGGCAAGACGACGCGACGAACCCGACACGCACCAGCCGCGGCAAGGCGCGGTGACGGCTCGGCCTCTTCTGCTCGTTGCTGCTGCTGCTCCC